GCGAGCTTACAGAACTGCAGCTAGTGTCGCCCGCTTTGCAAACTAATTGAACCCTCCCCATGCAATGCAGACTCCCAGGAATGCACGTTACGTTATCAAATGTAGGCAAAAGGATAAACCCCCGGGATAAACCACTACTTGAATCACCGCCACGGTGTCTATACAAATATCCTTCATTATAACTTCTATCTGCTATTCTTGCGTCGTCATTGGACTGACTGATAATACTAAAAATCAAGTATAACAGCCATTTTAAAAAGAACATTGACTTATGTACATCGTACTTCTGTTCGTAACAACAACATGGAGACCGCCGCCATGACCACCAAGATTAAAAGAAACTGACGTCTATTCGAGCATTTAAAAGTTTTAAAATCAGCTTCAAGCGCTGCATACCTTAAAAAAAACATGTAATTTAGTTATTTGAGTCGCACACTGTGTATTTTGTGTATTTGCACTATTTCATTATGCACATATTTAACTTTTTGGCGTCGTGTTTTTTTTTTTTTTTTTTTTTTACCAATAATCGTTTTTAAGGTAGCGAGAAGTGAAATTTTCACCTTTTTTTTTATTTTTAAAAATCAATTGCGAAATAACGTTGCTCAAATTAGTGTTTTAAAAAAACCTGCTCGGAATAATTTGCTTTCCGTATGAATATGCAAATTAATACAAGTACTAAATATTAATTATGATCTATGTACATACATTATAGTTGATCTGTTGCATACTTTACCTCTGTAACTTGTAGTTCGAGACAACTGGAACATTTTCAGAAACTGTACAATATTATGCCAAAATATATTTTGCATAGACTAGTTTCCAAACAGAACAAAAAATAGAATATTTTACAGGTTTGGTTGATCTCAGAATGATTCTACTGCGAGTAGGAGTTACTCCTATTTTTAGGTTCTAATTTGAAAATCACCATACCGCTTAGGCAATTAAAGATTACCGAGGACGAGGGCATGCACCTACATATAAACGGGGCTTTGTTATAACACATTTTGCATATTTTTCTTTGTCGTATTTTTTTTAAATATCTATCTCCTGGACAATAAATTGTTTAAATTGTCAAATGGCGTCAAATTCGTCCCAAATACATTATATATACTTATAGTCTGTATAATTACACTTTTCGGCGACATTTGTATGATCCAAATCACCCGATAAATAAATAACGAAAATTGCCCGAAAACTGGCTTAGTTGGGATTGAAATATAAAAAAAATGTGTTCAATGAAATCGAATATGAGAGATTATTTTACCAGGAAATACCATTCTAACCTTACGTTTCGTTATACGATAAACCGCGTTGGCCTAACAAATTACCGTGGACTTCGAACATAGGTCTGCTTTTTTTTTCCCGTTGAAATTGACAATTTCATTTTGATAATGAATTATTTTATGACACTTCCAGAAAATCAACTGCAAGTAAGGATGGATGTAGTTAACGCAATTAGGAAATATAACATGATAAATTTGGGCAGTTTATATAATATTACCTCTATTTATGTCAAGAAAGCTTGGTGTTTTTTTTTCATATTAATTAGCCAAAATAAGCAGGAACGTTATCTCTTCACTGCCCACCTACTCAGTGGCGGATCCAGAGGGGGGGGGGGGCATGCCCCCCGCAACGCATGACGATTCATATCATTTGGATTACGCATAGCTTCTTTTGCGATTTTCGCTCCGTAATGTTAAGCGAAGCTTGCCCCCCCCCCCCAATACATTTTGCTGAATCTGCCACTGCCACTACTTGACACACGTACCACCGAGAGACTCATTGATGCACTGTACATCACAGATTATAGCAATGCAATAGTCTTATTTGGCATCACCAACTATAGACTATCCAAAATACCACGTCACGTTTAATCAGCCTTCCGCTTCACAATATTTGACATCCCTGGAGACTACAGAGTTCCTCGTGTGGCAAATTAAAAAAATCATATGGTCAACGTCACTCAACGAGCGTTTTCTGTTAACATGTTAAAAAAATAATTCACAATATTTTAACACACACACACACACGCACGCACGCACGCACGCACGCACACACACACTGATGCAAGCATTTTCTTACTGGAAATTAATTCAGTGAACTGTGCCTCTGTTGATCTATTGGAATTGTGCATGTAAGCATTGGCAATGCTGAATAGATAGTTTCCGAGATCCTGGTTTTCATTGCACATCAAAGATTCAGGGAGATTCTTTTGGGGCACCAATCAATATTAAGAGTGTGGTAACTAAATCAAACTTGGGAGGCAGAATAATATAACATCTAGCTTGAAATATGTATAAGGGTTATATAAGCTTCATTTAACAGTTTGTAGAATTCTTGATTTGGTTAAAATATGAAATAATGAAGTAAACATTTCCAAGCACATTTGGCGAGGGCTTTAGTAAACATTTACCAGTTATGTGTTAGTAATACTCTTACAGTGCAAACAACTAAGATGAAATACTTTTATCAATCACTCGTACAAATTAATTATCTGTCCTGTGTTAGTAGTGACACACTTA